ATTAACTATTTCTTTAGAGTTCCGGTTTGTTTTACAATAGTTCTAGAGTTCTATATCATATATAACAATAGTTCTAAATAATTTCGACAAATTAAAGACAACAAATTAAATTATTAAGCCGAGACTCGAACCGAAATGTTTTGAGTCTTCGTTAATTTATTAAGCCAAGTTAGTTAAGCCTGGGATAATTTTTTAAAGTTGCTTAAAGACATTTTCGCGTTTGCAAAGGTGTATTTTCGAAAATGACGTGAAGTGTGCGTATTCCGCTTTGCATCGTCTCTTGCATGACAATATGCCTTAATGTCACTATACTCCCTCAGTAACACTACTATAATCTTGAAAATAATTTTCCAATATCTCAAAGTCGCGCCCGTAACGTTAGATCCATCGTAGCATTACATTCGGATTCTCGCGCATGCGATATCTATCTGCGCATGAGCCGAAAGTCGGTCATGCGACTGATAGTTAGGTCATGTAGTGTTAGCATGTAGAGTACGTTCTAAGATAATTTTCATAGTCTTTTAAAGTAACTTTTTCGATTACAAAAGTTCAATTTCGTAAAAGACGTGCGTATTTCGCTTGAATCGTCTCCTGGATGACAGTGTGTGTTAGTGTCATTCTACTCCCTCAGTAGTACATCCAGAATTTTGAAAATAATTTATCAATATCCCAATGTTGCGCCCATAACGTTAGAGATGATCTAGCTTTGCGATAATTTCGCTGCTCATCAATGAGACAAGAGCAGAGAGATTGGATATTTGTCCTTTTCTAACTTAGTATCATTGTACGGGAGTACAACGGGCACGAACTATTTATCGCATTTTATCGTTACCACCGAGAAAATGCGCCTAACAAACGTAATAAAGGCGTACTTTGTTTTTGGCGTCTTGAAAATGTGCCTAGCTCTGGCTACTAAAATCAAGCTGGTGGCCGCCCTCAGGCTTCTCTCTGCATTCATTCGTCAGAAACAACGGGTCTAATAATTTCGTAGACTTTATTTGCTCGCTTACAGTTTGTTATATTGGAGTTGTATCAAAAGTTTCTGTTCTGCTGAAAAACGGTTACGGAAGTGTAAAATATTTCGCGAATTTTCTCGTTCCTATCATTTTGGCTCGTTAAATGCGAGTTTTGCGTCTAAATCATTGCCGGGAGTGCTGAAAATAAGCCTTGCGTCTTTGTCATGACGAGATATTATCAAATATGCATATTTGATATGTGAAAAGTTTTGGACGCACACGGAACTATACAGTTTGTCACATTTTGCATTCCGCATCCCAGTTTTCCGGAATTATTTTACTCCAGATATTCTTCAGATTTTGCAATAAACAAGGACTCGCGCAGTTAGGTATTTCCAGAGGTGACGCAATTTTCGTTTCCGAATTGTTCAGATATAGCATCTGTAATAAAATCATAAAAAGAATCGTATCATTAGTGTATTGTTTAGGTGGTATATACGCACAATTACGTCATCTCGTTGTGATATGAAGGATATTTAATAATCCTCGCAACTATGCTGTTAAACTAATTACATATCATTTCTGGTAATTATGCGTAATCACTCCGCATGCATTACCTCAATTTACCATGATCCGTGAAGAACTGTATCTAATATTTTGAAACATTCTGTGAGCCGTAAATGTTAAATCAGACGTGAACATTTTTATAAGATTTGTGCGTAATTACACTGAGAAAAAAATATTTCAAAATTTATTTGTGGGATATAAAGTTTATTTTTGAGAAACAAAGTTTATTTCTGTGGAGTAAGGTTTGTTTCTGTGAAATAAACCTTTATATACACTCACAAATAAATTTTCAAGTATTTTTTTCTCAGTGTAGCATCATGAATTTAAAAACAATAATGCTATCAATATATCTACCTTCACTTCCTGATCCCCGTTATCGGCGAGATGCAATTCGAGAATGAACGTCGCCCCGTAATCCGGTTTGAGACGCTTACTCGTAAATCCCATCGTTCTCATCGTATTAACGATAGTTATGTCATGAGCGGAATAGAAGTAAGCACGTCTTGATTGCGGCTGAATTATAGTCTCTTCCATATGTTGTAGAATTTCTTTTACTAACGGACCTGTAAGGTGTCGCAGTAGTGAGATTTGGTTATATTTATTTATTATTTGGTGATTGCTTGGTGATATTTTGCATCACCAAATACTAATAAGTAAACCTACCCAAAAGTTACACTTCGATTTCTTTTTAATTTGGCACAAATGTAGAAGTACAAAAAATATTTAAGTCATATTTTTCATTTTGGCTCACTTTGAGTTTCACGGGCAGCTTTATGGCTTTTTAATATTCCCATTCTTATCATCAACAAGTGTAACAAAAATGCATAAAAAATAAAATTGAATATAAGATACAGTTAAATAATTTTAACAAAATCGTTATAGCTGAGACATCGGTATAGCCGAGACATGAATCATTCTAAATTTCTTTAGCCGAGATTCCAACCAAAATATTTCAAATCTGTGCTAAATTAATCAAAAATTAGAAAAAATATGTCCTAAATATTTTTTGTATTTCTACATTTGTGCCAAATTAGAAAGAAATCGGAGTGTGCCTTTTGGGTAGATTTACTTATAAAATCTCGCGATATAATCTGAAAAGTACATTTTCGCGGGGATAACGCGCATACTTTTTATTGTTACGTAGAAGTTATCGTCGTACCTCCTTGAAGACGTTTCTGAATATCGTTGTCAGTGAAAAGCGCCAAACTGCGAGCGGCTATTTCGCGCATCTCGTTGTTGTAAAATTTCTGAGTCCAGTTCGGAAGTTTTAACCCGTGTTTTTCTTCGATCTCGAGAGTATTGTAAAGAAACTCGACGTCGGTGATCGTGGTCATATTTTGTCCTGTATATTTCGTCAAGTTCTTGTAATAATCAGCCATTTCTTCGCCCGATCTTTTCTCCTCCTCAAAATAGGCTTGCTTCAGAGCCTCCGCTAGTCGTGAGCATGGCGCTTTTACGGCTATCAACTGTAACAATATTACTGTTTTGAAAAATACGTATTTTATAGGCCTCTACTTTGCTAATATAAGCTGGCGCTTCATATTTGTCGGCAATCAGGACTGTTTTTATCAGTATTTTTTATCTTGTATAATAAAATATACAATTTCAGGAATAATCAGAAATTCGTGTACCTATAATTATTTGTAATTGTATTATTAATTATATTATTAATTTACATTAATGATTATATATTAATAATTTATAAATGTTTATTAAATTATAAATATCAATCTGAAACTTATCTCGATATTCAAAAACAATAATGAAGGAAAGCATACACTGCCTTTCAAATAATAAGATGTTTAGAAGAAGCGTATTTTTTAAGATAACGTTCACCTCT